CTTACTTTTTACTAGCTCTGAGAGGCTGAGGCAGAAGCATGGCAAATTTGAGCCCAGTTTGAGTAATTTAGCAAGATCCTATCTCGAAAAAAGAAAAAGAACAAAGGGCTGTGGCTGTGGCTCGTTGAGTGTGTGTGTAAGGGGTAGGTGGAAGTTTTTTTTTTTTCCTTTGAGAAGTAGTCTTGCACCTTGAGTCAGCTTGAGAGCTAAAGAGAAACCTGGGAAAGCAACTGGTGGAGATGCCTAAAAGCAGGAGGACAGGTAGGTAGGCCAGTACGCTAAAGGCCAAGCGGGGTCATCTCCTTTTTCCCAGTGTGGCTAGAAAGTCATCTCTAGCGTGACGTTCGAGTCACTAAACCCTTGCAGGCTCAAGGGCACCGCCTCCTCCCACCCCCAGCAGGACCCACTGCCAAACTTCCTTACCCCACAATGCCCCGCGCCGCCGGGAGTTGGGCTATACTCAGACAGAGCGGAAGTATCGCATAGCTTTCTGGGAAATGAAGTTCACTCGTTAAATTGAAACCACAGCCCAATCCACCAGCGAGACTGGGCACCCAACAATGCGCCGCGCGTGCGCATATGGGCTGAACTGTATGCTGCTGCCTCCTGGTGACAGCTGAGTGGTTATGACCAAGGCTGGGGACAATGCTGCGCAGACTTGGGAGTCTTGGGGACCTGTGGCAATGCTTTCCAGAGAGGTTGAACCACCCAGAGGGTGGAATAGGTTGGGAAAAAGAAACAGTAAAGAAACTAGAGGCAGATTCACTGTGAAGATTATGTGAAACCAGCACAATAATTGGGAATATTATATACATATTTCTACCCACAACCAAAGAGTAAATATTTACCTATGGGCGAGTACTGTCTTCACCTCCCCCATAATGGGGATTGTGCCCAGGGCCGTCACACTGAGCAACATCCCCAGTTGGTTTATATTTTTTTTTGAGACAGGGTCTTCTTATGTAGCTCAGGCTGGCCTTGAATTTACTATGTAGTCCATGCTGGCTCAAACTCACGATGATTCTCTTGCCTCTGCTCCACCAGCACACTTTATAAGAAGAAAGCTGAAACCTGGAGGGGAGGAATACCTACCTGTCCAGTCACTCAAATGGTCAAGGCACACTGGTGTTTGAATCTGGGCTGTTCCTCTTCAGTCAGGTGTTTTTCCTCACTAAAGCTATTAACTTCTTTTGTATCCAATTCAGTTATCCCAAGTTTGTAATTGGCATAAAAATCAGTATAGTTTGTTTGACACAGGGATCAGGTTTTTTTTTTGGGGGGGGGTCTTTTTTCTTTTTATCGGTACCGGGGATCGAACTCACGACTACCTGCTTGCAAGGCAGGTGCTTATGCCACTGAGCTAAATCCCCAGCCCCAGGGATCAGGTTTTTGATCAGTGGAAATCACCCACAGGATTAACTTCAGGCTTAGAAAGCCCTGTTCCTTTTTGCTCAGGTGTTCTTATTCCAGTGTTACTCCCGCTACAAGCCCTTCCCAAGTACCATCACAGGGCTGATCTGATTTTATTCCTCCTTATCCACTGCCACAAGCTTATATTTTTCACCACTTTATTAGTAACAAAATATAACATTAAAATTTTTTCTGGTTGGGAAGCTAAGGCAGGAGGATTGCTGCAAGTGCCAGGCCAGCCTGCGTTACATAGTGAGTTGAAGGCAGCCTGAACTACATAGTGAGACCCTGTCTCAAAAACAAACAAACAAACAAACAAACTTGCCAAGCAGAGTGGTGCATGCCTGTAATCTCAGCACCTGGGAAGTTGAGGCAGCAGGATCTCCGTAGTGAAGGCCAGCCTGGACTACATAGGGAGACCCTGTTTCTAAATAAATAAATATATACCAAAGAAACACGGGGCAAGAGGATGAAGTCTGAAGCCAGTGTGGGCTACAAGTGAGACACCCAATCTCAAAATAACCAAATCACACCAATGTTCTGTAATTGCCTATTTGTTTGCTTTGAACACTCAAGCAAAGGCTGTAATCCAAATCATGGGTGTTCCCAAGGTCAGACCTAATACACCCAAGAAGGCTCAAAAAGTAGTTTAAAAAATGTGAGCAATGTTGGAGATTCACTGTCTTCCATCTGCACTGATTTAGGATTTATGAAATCTAACAAGGTGCACTTTATTCTCAAAAGGGTTACATTAGCTAGGCATGTTGGTGCACATCTGTAAATCCTAGTGCTTGGAAGGCTGAGGCAAAAGGATTTCCCCAAGTTTGAGGTCAATCTCGGTTAGATAGCAAGTTCAAGGCCAGCTTGAACTACAAAGTAAGATCCTGTCTCAAAAAAAAGTTAAATTCATGGTCAGAAGGAAGTTAAATTCCCACCAGAAGGAAGGGTGGTGGATGGTGCCTTAAAGCACGGACAGCTGGCAAGGGTGCAAAAAAATCCACGGCCCCTTTCTGCTGTTTTCCCTAAGGTTATAGATCTGGTGATTGGCACAGGATCCACAGGATCCACAGGATCCACCAGTTTGTGGTCCTCTTTTATTTTTGTACCAGGGATTGAACTCATAACCTCACACTTATCAGGCAGGTGCTTACGCCACTGAGCTAAATCCCTAGCCCCTCTTTTTGCTTTTAATAACAATCCATGAATATGTTCCAAAGCACACTGGATTTATAGGAGTTGCCTGAGTCATGAGGTCTCACCCACACAAAAGAAGACGTGTGTAATCATTTTTAGGGCACTTTCTTATTTTACATCACCATCACCATTATATCAAAACCCACGGCCTGTGCACGCTAGGCAAGTACTCTCATCAATGAGCTGCACCCCAGTTCCTTTCCCTCTCTTGTTCACCACAGTACTTGTCTCAGTGATAGAAAGCCCACACAAGGGGCACTGGCTGGGAAGTCTGAGACACCTCCTCACCCTCCTCACTTTGACACTGTCATGGAGGGGGCCAAAGCCTTGGCAATCCTTTGCCAAATGAACTGCTTTTTCTTTTCTTGGTAGATGGACAACTTTATTGATTGTGTACGTGAGGGGTGTGCCGTGGGTGTCTGATGTCAGTCCCTGGTGCTTGTGTGGGTGTGTGGCAGTTCTGCTGAGGAGCTTACAAGTTTGAGCACAGCTGTGTATTTTGATGTTTGCTGTCTTGAGTGGGCATGTGGGGTGTTCTGTGTATCTAAGCATGTCTATATAGAAGAATACAAAACATCACACTGGGGGCTGGGGATTTAGCTCAGAGGTGTAAGCACCTGCCTTGCAAATGTGTAGTAGTGAGTTTGATCCGCGATCCCTGGTACCGACAAAAAAGAAAAAGATCCAAAAAAAAAACCCCAAAACAAAACATCAGACTGCCCACAGATGTGAGCACTTCTCTCCAGACTCTCTCAGCAATCAGACAGTGCATCTCAATTTTTTCATTGATTTGAGTGTAGCCCAGGCTGCCCTTGAACTCCCGATCTTCCTGCCTTGGCCTCTTGAGTCTTGGGATTACGGCCATGCACCACAATACCTGCTATCTCATTTTTAAATGTAGTTGTTCACAATGCTGCTTCCTCCTCCTCTAAAAGTTGTAATTAAGTAATGCAACAATTAAGCAGTTTCCCAAATAGACTTCCTATCAAGACTCCCTTCTAGGTGTTGAGGAACTATATATATATATATATATATATATATATATATATTTTTTTTTTTTTTTTTTTTTTTGGTCTTTTTCTGTTTATTGGTACCGGGGATCAAACTCACGATTGCCTGCTTGCAAGGCAGGCACTTATGCCGCTGAACCAAATCCCCAGCCCCTGAGGGACTATAATTTTACGTGCAGACACATGCACCATGCAGGCATCTCGGAATACATGGGATGCATACTTATGTTTTTGTTTTTGTTTTTTTGAGATGGGGTCTTATTATGTAGTTCAGGCTAGTACTGAACTCATGGCAATCCTCCTGCCTCAGCCTCCCAAGTACTGATACTATAGGCATGTGCCACCATGCCTGGCTTGGATCCACACTTAAATGACTTACCTGAAGGTACAATGTTCTTTGCCAGACTATAATACTGTGAGGAATGGCTTCATGATATTCTAGTCTTTTTTTATTTTATTTTATTTTTTATTTTTTTTGTCTTTTTCCTTTTTATCGGTACCAGGGATCGAACTCACGACTGCCTGCTTGCAAGGCAGGCGCTTATGCTGCAGAGCTAAATCCCCAGCCCGATATTCTAGTCTTTTGATTTCTTTCTTCTTTAAAATATTAAGTGCAGCACTTGGGAGGCTGAGGCAGAAGGAACGTTGCAAGTTTGAGACCAGCTTGGGCTATAACATGAGCTCAAGGCCAGCCTGAACTGCATAGTGAAACCTTGTCTCAAAAAGACAAAAGTGAATATATAAAAATATTAAGTGAACACTTAAAAGTCCCCACCCACTGGAGTGTGGCAAGACTACAGTACTTATTTACGCCCAATATCCTTTTTCTCCTACTTCTGTAGTACAGGAGCTTCTGATATTTGGCTGATGACATGGCTGTCCAAAACAAAAACTTAACTTCCCAGATTCCTTTACAGGTGGCTGTGTGACAAACTTCTGGCCAATCAGCTACCAAGGTTTTAGTTGTACATCTTCCTTGAAGACAAAGGTTCTCTCTCTCTCTTCTTTCCCTCTGGTGTCTGGAGTAGATCAGTTGGGAATCATACAATGGATAAAGAAACTAACCCCTGACACACTGGGATCACTAAATTGGTGGCTCTTGGTGACTGCATGAAACTTCATATAAAAAAGAATTAAGTAAAAAAAAAAAAAAAAAAAGAATTAAGCTTTCAACTTGTTTAACCCAGTATTACTTTGGGCCTTTTTGTTATAGCAGCAGAACCCCTTTGTTAAGTAGGAAAGGACAAAGTACAATCTGATGTGTCTCCAACTGCCCCTTCAAGGCCAAATACTCAACCTGCCCACCCTCGCCTTTGCTCAGGCTTCTATTTCACCCTCACTGATCCAACTCCCCAACCCTTCTAAAATTACTCAGTCCTTCATGTATTTCCTAGGTTTTTGATGAATTTAATATATGAATCTCAAAAAATCAATGGCAGGGGAAAGAGAAATAAAATTAAAATGGGGTCAGGAGGGGATGGCCACGGGAACACACATCGGGAGAGACAATGAATGGGTGGCTGTGGTAGGAGCTGGAATGGAGAGATCTTTCTTGGATGTCACATCTCATCCAGCCCGTAGTCTTCCTCAGGGAAATCTCCCACTGTCACAACTGATGGCTTGACGAAGGCACCATACTTGGCCTGACATTCGAAGTAGCGTTTTCCATTCACACTGCAGGGCAGGCAGGGGTGCAGTGTTCAGAGGACCCCACCATGACTCCCACTCTATGTACCACTGGGCAGGCTCGCCCAGCAACACACAGGCACACACATGTACAGTTGCACACACACGCACGTGTCGCAGTGGGAACAACTTGTTACCTGCCATCGTTTTTTCCTAATGGTTCATCATAGCGGACACCAATCCAATAGCCAGGCTTGAAATCTGTGAGTCCTGCCCAGGGGAGAAATCCCAGTGAAACCTCTGGACACAGCTCGTCCCACACTCAGTGCTGCCCACTGAGTAGGAAGCCTGTCCTGCCAAACCATCCCCTGCTACTCCACTGCTTGCACCTAGGACCTTTTGCATCTCCTGCTGGGACCAGGATGGCAGCCTCTTTGCTGTCTCCTTGCTCCCCTGCCCCATTCCCTCGGCACTGTCAGCCAGAAAAGTCATTGTAAAAGCCTAAGGAAGATGGCGCTGCTACACTGTTAGAGAAGGCTGTAGGATAAAGCACACCTGCCAATGGACTGACCTTGGACTCTCAGCTCCAGAACTGTGAGAAATCAATTTCTGTTGTTTGAACCACACTGGGTGGTACTGTTAGGGAATTCCTAGCCAAATAATGTATAACCAACAAGAATAAAAACCCAATTGGAAAGTGGGCAGAGGATCTGAATAGATATTTCTAAAGAAGATATACCAAGGCCAAGAAGTTATAAAAAGATGTTCAACATCATTAGCCATCGGAGTGCAAATTAAAAATAGTCATAGAGGTGCACATCTGTAGTCCAGATACCCTGGAGGCCAGGATAAGAGTCACAGGAGCCCATGAATTCACAATCAGCCTGAATACAGAAGACCCCATCTCAAAACAAACACACAAACAATGATGTTCCACTTGGCACCCATTGGAATGAGTGGTGAGGAAGCGTTGGTGAGGATGCAAAGCAATTGGCCTCACTGCTTGTGGGAACGCAGAACACACTGCTGCTGTGGAAAACAGCCTGGTACTTCCTCAAAAGGTTAAGAACAGGACTGGGAAAGGAGCTGAGAACTAGAGCATTTGCCTAGTGTGTGCAAGTGGCTTGAACCTCACCCAACATCAAGCACATAAAAAAGGTTAAGCATAGACTACCACGTGAACCATCGACTCCATTCCTATGTGGAAGAATGAAAATGTCCATATAAAAACTCATCATACAAGCCGGGTGTGATGGTACACATCTGTAATCCCAGACTGGGAGGCTGAGGCAGAAGGATTGTCGAGTTTGAGCCCAGCTTGGGCTACATAGTGAGTTCAAGGCCAGCCTGAACTACATAGCAAGGCCCTCTTAAAAAACAAGCAAACAAAAACAAACAAAAAATAAGAAGTAGCTGCTTAGGATGATACCGTTTACAGTGTTCTGAAACTGTGACAATAATGGTACAGTTCTGTGAATACACTAAAAAACAATAAACCCTATACTTTTTTATTTTTGGTTTTTCTGAGACACTCAGACTGGTCTTGAACTTGCAACCTTCTTGCCTCACCCCTCTGTAGAGATGCACTGGCTTGAACTACACCCTTTAATGACTGAGCTGTGTGTTGGCTCTGTGCTTCCCACTTCCTTGGCACCAGTACCCTGGCCTGTGACTGTCAAGATAAGGAGCTCTTTAAGGACCAGGTCCCTGGCACTGCCCACCTCAGAGACTACTAAATGAATGTGTACCTCTCCGCCTCGGGACCCTGTGGTTCTGTGGGCCACGTACCTACATACATGACAGTGCCCCGACGAGGGGACTGCCCTGGCATCCGCACCTCACAGCGGCTGCCCACAGAGATGGTACTGGCTAGGGCCTTCTCCTCGATGAGGCGCTGGGCGGCCTCGGCCTCTTGCTGTGCCCGCTCTTCTTCATTGTATCGGCCAAGCTTGCTGCGCTTCAGGAAGGAGCGAACGGTGCCTGTGGGCCAGGTAGGGAAGGGGGTTAGACCTGGTCTCTGAGGCTCCGTCTCTGATTTCACGAGCTGACATTCCAACTACGAGGGGCCAACATTCAGGGAATAACAGCTTCCTAAAGGGCTGTTTGTCATCCAAGCCCCTGAAGGCTCCCACTGCAACCTCAGTCTCTCCAGAACTCCTGGGGCCTCCCCTTAGAATCCAGAAACTAATGGATGCTGCCTACCTTTGGCCCTTCACATGACTCTATCTTCTGTTTACTTATTTTGTCATTATTGTTTTTTGGCTTTGAGATGGGGTCTCACTATGTAGTACAGACTGGCCTTGAGCTTGCTTATGTAGCCCAGGTTGGCCAAACCCACAGCAGTCCTCTGTCTCAGCCTCCCAGAGTGCTGGGATTACAGGCCTGCAACACCACACCCAGACTGTTGTTCTGAGACAGGACATCTAGCTACGTATTCAGTCTGGCCTTGAATTCTCTATGTAGCCCGGGCTGGCCTCGAAATTGTCATGATCCTCCTGCTTCAGCCTTCTGGGTGTTGGGATTACAGCCATGTGCTGCCACCATGATTGGCTCCCCATCTTCTTACATGTCTCCTTCCAGTGTCCCACTCACCTTTATCCAGTCCCTGAAACCCCTTGTCTTTCCCACCCACATTCTGAGCAGAGCCCAGAGGCCTGCACTGACTGCAAACAGCCTTGTCCATATCCTACCTTGTTCTGGCCCCACATCCCATCTGCCCAGCCCATGCCTCATCTCATCCTGTCCCCACAACCCTCTCCCTTCAATCCCACTTTCACCTTCCCAAGCCTCCATGTGCCTGCCCACATCTCCATACCTCCCAGCTCCCAGTCCCTGTACATGCCCTGTCTACCTCAATGACTACCCCAGACCTCCGTCTGTCCCCACCACCCTCACCCTACCCTGCTCCATCCTGCCAAACCCTCTATCCCAACTGCCCACTCCATCAACCCCCCCGTGATGCCCATCTTGTCCCACCTGCCCCCTCCACCCATATACACTGGCTCTCAGCCCCACATGGTTCATCCCTCCCACCCTCTGTGTTTTCTACCTTGCTTCTGATCATAGGCTTCTTGTGAGATCTCGTATTTCTCCACCTTGGACACATCCTCATACTCTCCAAGGCGGGCACCACTGTGGTCAATGACCTGTGGTGAGGGAAGCTGGGATCAGAGTCTGCCCAGGGAGGTCTGGGATGCTGGGGTGCAGCTGTACACAACAGCATTCTATAGACTCAGGCCTCCCCAGTTTGGGAACAGACACCTCCCTCCATCCAGGTGTCTCGCCTCTCCTGTGCTCAGCAGAGGACAGGTATAGATATCCACACTGACCAGTCCCCCTTTCTCAAACCCATTTAAGTCTCTGGAGCTGTAGCTACTCCCCAATACCCCAACACGCATGCACCAACATCACTGATGGTCCTCAAGTCACTGAACCTCACCAACAGAGCTCAGGCTTCCTCACAGCTCTCAGGGCCCCTGTAAGGCCCTTTGGCTCCTCTAAGGCTGGTCCCATTCTCCAGATCCTGGAACATCTGTTCTGGTGCCACCTAATACTCAGTTACTCACTGCTTACAGAGTTCCCGCAAGGCACCAGTGGGACCTTCAACAGACATTGGGGACATAATACAAAAGATAGGTGGCTCCTGCCCTAAAGCAAACCAGCCATAAACAAATGAACCAGGTGATGAGTAAGAGCTAAGAAGAAAAATCTAACAGAAAAGAAGCTAAAGAACATGGAGAAGTGTCAGGGCAGGCTTCAGAAAAGACACGGTATTAAGCCAAGGCCTGAAGGATGAGTGTCAGAAGGTGCAATGGCCAGAGGCAGAAGCATACTGGCCCTGCTGCGGGAGCAGAGTGGGGAGCAGTGTGGGTGTGTGGGTGGAGTGAGCCCAGCAGGGCTTGGGGACAACAGCTTGCTGTAGACTCTGGAGTTTACCTGGAGGTGCAGAGATGGCTCCCATGTGACTCAAGGGTCCACAGGCTCTCTCTGGCCACAGACTGTGGGAGCAGGGATGGGAGCCAGGAGACCCAGAGGAGGCAGTGGCAGGAGAGGGTACAGGCTGGGCCAGGTTTGGGGATTTGGGTGGAGGTGAAGAGATGAGATTCTGGTCAGATTTTACAGGTGTAGCTCACAGGATCTGTGCTAGGATGTAGGTATGAGGGAAACAGACAGGGTTTCAATAGGTCAAGCACAAACCCCCAGTGTTTGGCCTGAACCACTGAGACAACACGGCAAAAGGGAAATGGTCCTTATCTTTAGGTCAAGGATCACTAAGAATTTCTATTTTCTACGTCAGTGCTTTTTCTCTAAATTTGAGGTTATTGTTTTAAGAATAAATGTAGGTGGTATTTATAAACTAAAAAAGAATCCTAGAAAAATACAAAAACCCCTTGAGGTCCCACAACCGTCCTGGAGTGGGGACATCAGAGATCTTTGTATACCCATATCACCTCGGTGTGAGACCTGTAGACTACGCAGGCCTGACCTGCTCACAGCCCTAGGCTGAGGCCACCTGTGTCAGCCCCAAGCCTCAGTCTAGGCCCAGCAGAGTCCTGACCTGCACCTGCTATGGTCCTGTCCTCATCACTTCATGTGCACCATCGCAGCAGCTGTCCCTGGTGTCCCTGCTCCTCCTGTCCTCTAGGCTTCTTCCTACCCACAGCCTAAGGAAGCCTGCAAACAATGGAGTCACAATAAGGTCCTCACAGCTCAGAGTTCTTGCCAGGATACCTTCTGACATGGTCCTTGGTATCCACTGTACTCCCGCCTGCCTTCGGGTGTTTGCTTATGCTGTGTCCCTCTTTTTGGTTAACTGTATTTTTCAGGTCTCTATTTAAGCAGTATTTGTTCTAGGAGACCCTACCAGATCTCACTCATGGGTCTCTATACATAGTCTCTAAGCTCCCAGATCTCATGTATGGCCCTTGTCTCTACTTTTTTTTTTTTGTACTGAGAATTGAACTCAGGACCCTGTACTTGCCAAAGAGGCACTGAGCCATTGAGCTATACCCCTAGCCCTCCACTGACTTTTTACATTTTGTTCTGTGATCATCTGGCTATCTCTGCCTCACACAATGAACAAAAGGTAAACCAGAAACCTTCTCAGATGTGGCTCACCACTAAATTCCTGGTACCACAAAGATGCAATCAACAGTTAATGAATAAATGAACAAGAAAAAATCAGTTCTGAGTAATAGATTAAGGTCAAAATTCTAGAGACAAACTGGGCATGATGGCACATGCCTATAATCTCAGCACTCAGAAGGCGAAGGCAGGAGGATTGGAAGTCTAAGAATACTGCCTGACAACTTAGTGAAGCACCGTGTCAAAAGAAAAAATGGGGAGGGCACTGGGGACATAGCTCAGTGCAAAGGCCTGGGTTCAACTCCCAGTACCACTACCAAAAAAACAAAAAAATTCTAGTGACTGTGTATTCTTTTTTTTTTTTTTTTTTTTGTCTTTTTTGTTTTTATCGGTACCAGGGATTGAACTCACCACTGCCTGCTTGCAAGGCAGGCGCTTATGCCGCTGAGCTAAATCCCCAGCCCCTATGACTGTTAATTCTTAAGAAAGTAACTTATGTAGGGTGTGTTGGCACACATCTGTAATCCCAGCACTTGAGAGACTGAGAGAGGTGTATTGCTATGAATTTGAGGCCACCCTGGGCTACACAGTGAGTTCAAGGTCTCCCTGAGCTACATAGCGAGAGCCTGTCTCAAAAAAACAAAAACAAACAAACAAAGTAAATTCCTCTGGGGATGTGGCTCAAGAGTAGAGTGCTTGCCTATCATGCTCAACACCCTAGGTTCAATTCCCAGCACTGCAAAAAAAAGAAAAAGTAAATTCCATTTGCTGAAACTAAGTTTTCTCACTTGCAAAATGAAAATAATTATACTATGTTCCCAGTCCTATTTAATGGATTCAATTCATCATTCAACAATGATTCACTGAGTATTCTCTGTTCTAGGTATTGTTCCATCGTGGTGGAGACATGACAGCAAATAGAAGAAACAGTCTGCCCTTCTAGCACTCTATTCAGGGAGGCAGAAGACAAACCAGACCAATGATAAAAATCCAGAGTTGTATTAGATGATGGTAAGAGTTGAGGGTAAAAGTCTAAAATATACCAAAATATAGGAAAAGGGATGAGGTTAAAATGTTTTATTGAGGCTGGTGAAGATGTCATGTGATGTTTTAAGTAAGGACTGGAAAGAGGGGGTGACTACTGAGGTGGAGCATATATACAGTGGATGCAAGGGCCCCAAGGTGGAGCTCACCTAGGACCTCTAAGGAGCAAGATAGCTGGTGTAGATGAGAGGCAGAGGTGTCTGAAGACAGAAGGAATGGCATACGCTGATCACACAGAGGTCCTCTGTTGTGGCTTTTCCCAATCTGTCTGGCTTCACTGTTCACCATGGCTCAGCTCATAGCCTGTATACCCTCTTCCCTCCACCTGGCATGCCCTTCCTACCTCTTCTCCTGGGTTGTTCTCTGCTCATCCTTTAGGTCTCAGCTCAAGTGTCCCTTCCTCCAAAATGCTCTTTCTGATACTCCCAGGTGGAGTCAGGCATCTTTTCTCATGGTCCCAGTCCTTCAGGCTTTCCCTTTCCCACACTAGGCTGTCACCACACTGGACTAGGAAAAGGTAGGCCCTATACTAGTTATCACACAGGGCAAAGCACACCAAAGTATGTGCTTAATAAACGAATGAGTGAATACACGAATGAGGTGTGGGGTCCCAGGTAGGGTGGCCTCACGTGGATGCGGCAGCCATCATCTACAGGATAGGAGCCCAGCAGTGCATCCTCCTGATCCAACTTGCAGTAGAACTTATCGTCAGCACCGTACAGTTCCAGCTGCATGCAGGAAGCAGGGCTGCCCACAACCAACTCCAGTTTACACTGTGGAAAAGGGAAGGATGAGGAGAAAACCTGTCAGGGATCCATCCTCCACTCTGCAGCTCCACGCCTTGTGTCAATAAACTTTCTCCCAAAAAACTCATCACTCAGGACCCCACCAGGCCCTGCTCCTTCTGCTCTGGCCCCTACCCAAAGGAGCATGGGATTTTCCCTTGGTCCTGCTCCTACCCTCTAGGCTCTCCGGTTCCCTCTAGCCCCAACCCACGAGGCCTGACGTCCCCGCAACCTCAGATAATCCTCGGCCCCGCCATCGCGCTCTCAGGCCCTTGCCCGCACTTGGGAAGCCCCCGATTTCTTTGGCACGTCCCTCCGGACCCCGCCCCCAAGGCCACACCTTGAACTCTGCGATCGTGAGGCTACGACTGTACCGCTTTTCAGAGCGGAAACTATTGAGGGAGCTGCTGATGAAAACGGTCACTGTTGGGGCTGTCATCCTCGTCACCTCCATCTCGCCGCGCCCTGCAGCGGCCCGCAGCCCAGTTCAGTCGCCTCACCCCAGCTCCGCAGCCACCGCTTCTGAGCTATCAGACCCACCCCCCTGCTCCGGCCTTGTCCAATCCGTGCGCTCCCCCTAGAAGGGCCTGCCAATCGCCGTCATCCTTTCTCCTCAACCAGGAAGAGGGCTTTCCAGATTCTTGGGTAAATCCAACCAATCCCAAAAGGTCTTTCGTGGTTTATGGGTCTTTCAATAGGCACAGGGAAACGCAAGGGTAGGCAGGACAGCACTGAAGCTACAAGGGAAGACTGGCAGGAGTTACATCTAGGCTCCTGAAGGTTAAACTCGGCGCATGTGCAATAGCCTGAAGCCATTTCAAATGGTTTATATTTGCGTTTAACGCCTCGTGGATTATGTTGTGTATAATATTCCCGCTTCTATCGTCCTGCAAACTGGAGAGGCGAGTTCCATAAACTGGAAGCAAATACCATAGGATATCAAAAGATCTCAGCGCGAAGGGACCGGAAGCAAAAAGCTACTGGAAGCATATGCTCAGCTGCCTCATTTTGGCGCAGCGGCTAATCTTGACTCTTCCCGCGACCTGTAGTGCGGCCGAGTAAGCGCGGAAGGCTTTGCGGCCCTTGAGTAACTATGGAACCCGACGGGACCTACGAGCCGGGCTTCGTGGGTATTCGATTCTGCCAGGAATGGTAAGGCCCCGGAAACAAGAGTGGAAAGGAAGTAAAGAATAACTCCGGGGGCTGGGGATATAGACCAATGGCACAAGCGCCTGCCCGGCAAGTGCAGGGTCATGAGTTCGATCCCCGGTACCAAAAAAAAAACAATAACTCCGGGGTTGACCTATGACCTCTCCTTCCCCACAGTAACAATATGCTGTACCCCAAAGAGGACAAGGAGAACCGTATTCTGCTGTACGCGGTGAGCGCGAGCCCGTGGGACTCCCCGCCCGCGTGATCTCCAACCTGTCCACCCATCCCCTACGTGGCCACCCCAACGTGACCCAAACTCCCTGTTCAAAACTCCCTGTTCACTCCTATCGTGTCCCGGCCTCCCCCTGGCTATTCCTCGAGTGAGTCCGCCTTGTCTACCTGCAAGGCGACTCATCTCGAGTCATCTCTTCCAGGGATCACCCTACTTCCCTTCCAGTCCTGCTGGGATCTCTTATTTTTTGCTTTCTGAGACACAGTCTCGCTATGTAGTTAAGACTGGGCTTGAGACTGTGTAGCCTGGGGTGGTCGTGAATTCGTAGCGATCCTGCCTCGACCTCCCAAGTCCTGGATTTATAGGTTTGCACCACCACACCTGGCTTGTGCGAGGGTGGCGTGGGGGAGGTCTCTCAGTGCCGCCCCTCCTTCTGCCACTCTCGCAGTGCCGGAATTGTGATTACCAGCAGGAAGCCGATAACAGCTGCATCTACGTCAACAAAATTACACATGAAGTGGAGTGAGTGATGGGACCTGGGTTTTGAGGAGATGGTGTTGGGTAGCTCGAAAAGCATTATTCACTTCCCCTTCCCTGCAGCGAGCTAACCCAGATAATCGCTGATGTGTCCCAGGACCCCACGTTGCCACGGACCGAGGACCACCCGTGTCAGAAGTGAGTGGGTAGCTGTTTGGGGGAGGGGGAATGGTTCATCTTCACAGGCACAGGGAGGAGGAAGGACTTATCAAGCCTTCAGTGATTAAGCCATCCCCTTCAGGTGCGGCCACAAGGAGGCAGTGTTCTTCCAGTCACACAGTGCCCGTGCTGAGGTGGGTGGCAAGATAACTTCTTAGATAGAGCCTGCCCTTCCCAGGGTGGGAGATACCAGTATTGGGATGAACCTGCCTTTCCAATATCCTGAGCTAAAAACCCTTGCCAACTAGGAAAGATTCCTTGATTGTTCTTTTAGAGTGAGGTCCTGCTGAGTGGAGGGTCTCATACTGTATTGTGTCTTGGGTCCAGACCTTGTCTGACCCTGTATCTTTTTCTGTCAGGATGCTATGCGCTTGTACTATGTATGCACTGCCCCACACTGCGGCCACCGCTGGACCGAATGACTCGTCCCGCCTTCACTGTAATAAATGCTAAGTACTGTGAGCGCGTTTCTTGTGTTTATTTGCCTCATGGGTAGGACACTGGTACAGTGTCTCGGTTAGCACGATGCAGGGTGCGGTGCTGTGCATAGGCGTCTGGGCGGGAGCTAGTGAAGCCACAGTCCTCACACACATGCAGCTTCTCGCGGCGCTCGCGGTAAGCATAGCTGGCTGGCTGCCCGTGCACTTTTGCAAGATGTGCTTCAAGGGAGCAGCGCTGTGTAAAAGCTTTCCCACAAGCTCCGCAGCGGAATGGCCGGATTCCTGCAAGGTGAGGTACAGAGAAAGGGCAGGGCGAAGAGAGCAATGGCTTCTAGACTAGACTCCTCACCTTGTTTTCTAGTAGTGAGCATTACTGTTTCTATTCCAAGCTTATGAGACTCTTCCCTTCCTGATCCATCACCTGCTACCTCCACAGAGTGCAAGCATGGACCAGACCCCTGTGTCTCCACTTTCCTTCATCAGGAATTTCCTTCCCCTGGAAGAGGGGCAGAGAGGGAGATGATCCTTAACATCCTTGGGATGCTGGGAATTCTGAACCAGCACCCACCTTCATCAGGCCCCTCCTTTGATGTTGTTACAGCCTCTTGCTGGGGTGTGAGGCACCCCATATCTCAGACCTGTTAGCTGTGTCATGGGCCTATATGCACACACTGGCAACTGTATTCCGGCCACCTTCCTCCATTTCATTCCATCACCATCCCTGCCCGGGGCCCAACAGCTCCTGTCCCTGTCACAGCTCACCAGTGTGAGTCCTCATGTGACGCTTGAGATCGAAGGCATCATGAAAGCCCTTGCCACAGCAACGGCACACATGGCGGCGTGCTGGGCTGTGGCACTTGAGGTGCCGAGTTAGCATGCGTTGCAGCGGGAAGGCCTTGGGGCAGAGAGGGCAGCCAAGTGTTCCCGGGCTCCTGGAAGCAGATGCCAGGCTTCCTTGTGTGACCTGCCAGAGGAATACAGGAATTAGCCCCACTGGACCCTGCCCAGTCTTTTTTTTTTTTTTTTTTTCCTGCCCAGTCTTTTATTACTTGGCAAACTGATGTTCTTACAAGTGCTTACAGGGTACCTATAGCCAGGTAGGACCAGGAGCCTGTGACTTACGGAGGCACTTCCATCCTCTCCCCAGGGTCTTCCCTTTGGGAAACTCCAGTACTCTTTTTTGTTGTGTTTTGGGAAGGTCTTGCTCGGAAGTTCAGGCAGGCTTCAAATTCATGATCCTCCTGCCTCAACCTCCCAAGTGGTGGAGCTATAGGTGTGTGTTATAATGCACAGTGGAAACCCTAGCCTCATTTCTTCATAGCAAGTACTACCCTCCAACACATTCTTAACACACTTTCCTAGTTTCATTTTGTATGTCGCTAGCCCCTTCCAGGGGAATAAGCTCCATAAAGGAATGATTTTAGTCTTACTTCCCCTAAATACCCCATACTCAGAATAGTGCCCAATAAATACTGAAATATTTGGTTCTCAATAAATACTGAAATTGGGGCTGGGGATTTAGCTCCGCGGCATAAGCGCCTGCTTTGCAAGCAGGCAGTCGTGAGTTTGATCCCCGGTACCGATAAAATAAATAAATAAATAAATAAAAAGAATAAATACTGAAATAACCTTAAGTACACTCTCATTCCAGCTTGTGCCTTTGTTCTTCCAATGCACACAACTGCAGAAGTAGCCCTTCTAAGAGGTTTCCTATCCTCTGCCTGCTTCTTTCATCCTGTCCAACATTGACATAAAGAAGATCACCATCCACTTGGCTGGAATTCTGCTCTGCCCCATTGGACATAGTGGGGCAGGGCCTAAGCTGCCCCATCCTGGGAATACCCTGGGAATGAGGCACCTGAGATCTAACAGCTCATTACAAGGCAAGAAAAACCATTTCCAGCTGAGAACAGTACCCAGGGTTGAAGGGCCTGTGCCAATAGGCCCAGGTCTAAGGGGCTGAGATTGGGGAGGGATGAAACAGCCCGCTCTTTTGGGCCAGCCGCAGACTCACCGATGCCCAAGGGTCCCCAAGACTGGAAGACTGCTGTACTCGTGGCCCTGCCTGGCTGCTGCAGTCTGCAAAAAGAAACCAGATAAGTGGTACCTTCCTTGCCTCTCCTCTGCTGCACACCTCCAGGCCCAGTGAGGGGCCTACCTGGGATATAGGCATCTCCCCGGAGCTGGTCAGGCAGGTGGCCCCAGTTGGGTGGCTGTGGACGCCGACTCCTGACCAGGAAGACACGGGGCATCACCTCAGCAACGATAAGATGGCTCTGCACACAGAGCTGCTCTTCCCCCTGCTGTCAGACTTCAGCCCTAGGACAAGTGTTCCAGGTGGGAAAGGAGGGGGAACCTATGGAGGAGCCTCATTCTCTTCATGCAAATTCTGTGAGGAACCCAGGGAGCTGACAGCTGGCTCCAGTTACCTCTACTGGGCCTGCCATTCATCCTGCTTTCTCTCATCCAGGCCAGGGTTCTGAATTTGAAACTCTGCAGCCTTCAGGGACCCACAAGCACTAGGACCCCCCAGTGGCGGTCAAGGAAGGGGATAAGCCCTTGGGCTTAGGGACAAGAAAGAAACATGGCCACAGCACTAACAAGGAGAGAATACCTGAGGATCTGTTTGCCAGGCAAATCAGTCACCATCAGACATCGATCAGCCTGTGGTTATTCAAATTAGAGCAGCTGTCTGAGGAAGTGGGTAGGGAGCAGCTGTGATTGTCCTCTTTCAAATGATGTAGGGAAGACAGCAGAGCGAACAGTTAAGGGCAAAAGGATCCAGGGCATGCATCTTCCGGTAAGACAACTTCTGAGCCTCAGATGTCCAAAGCTGATGTAGTCAAAAGCACTGTTCATGCTCTATCAGTTGTTTAAAAACTGGTTTCTTAACAGTCCAGCCTTTAGTGACTCCACTTTCCTCTTCCCACAGCCCGGAAACCAAAAGGGATCATCTGGCACAAATGGGCTCCCAGGACCCTTCCTTGGCAGTCTGGCTGGTTCTGTTCTCAGTTGGTCCTTGTCTGACCTCTGAATTGGGCATTAAGAATTTTGAACTCTCCCCATGCAGTTGCCTTCTCTCATTTACCTAACAGATCCCCCCCCCTCTGGTCCCGCCCCCTCCTGTTGATCCAACCCAACAGATTTCTGAGCTCCAACTTTAGCTCAGCCCTGGAAATGAACATTTTAGTCCATGAAGGAGACACCAGTAACAGTCTGGAATGATCAAGACACCCGAGGGGCTCTGGGGTTCGGCAGAGGGGTTCAAGGATTGGATATGACCCCTGAAAGAGAGGGTTCAGGTGGAGGAGAGGGTGTTCCAGGCAGAGGAAACATTCAGTACGAACATTTGGTTGTGATAGTTTTTTGTTTTGTTTTTCTGGTGCTGGGGTTTGAACCTAAGGCCTTCACAATGACCTACTTTTCCAGCCCCTCCCCTGTTTAATGTCTTCAAACAGTATATTGCTAAATCACAAAATCGTCCAGGTTGGGCTGGAATTTATGACCCTCCTGCCTCAGCCTCCTAGAATGCTAGGATTACAGGCATTTGCCATCACACTTGGGTTAGAGGAATATTTCTTTTCTTTTCTTTTTTAGAGGAACATTTCTTCACATGCCCTGAGAGTAAGTCTTGCTGATCATTTGGGGAAGCAAGAGAGGCAGTGGGGAGGCTGTCCACATGGAGCTTTGCCATTGCATCTCTGTAGGATTTGGGCCAAGTCACTTCTCACTGAGCTACAGTTGCCTCATCTGAATAATGAAACTAAGGAGTCTCCCTGTTACTTATATTGAAGAGCCCCATAGATCATGTGCAGAGAGTGCTTCACATGGAGTCTAGCAAGGGCACACATATAAATGGTGTTAAAAGTGGGGACTAGAAAGTCTTGAGGGTGCCAGGTGGAGTGTGGTATGTGCTTATAATCTCAGCATTCTGGGACGCTGAGGCAAGAGGATCACAAATACAAGACCAGGCTGGGCAACCTAGTGAGTACCTGTCTAAGAAAAAATTATACAGGGAGGGGTTGGTGAGATAGGTCCATGCAAAGACTGGGTTTGATCCTCAGTACCATCAAAACAAAACAAAACAAAACAAAACACAAACGGCTTGAGGGTTGCCTTGGCAAGCCACAGGTCTCAGCTGATTTGCCTGTGAAATAGGGCTTTAAGCCATGTCTCTATCTCACAATTGCTGGATTTCATGTGGCTGTCACCGGGTGCTTGATGACGGCCTGGCAGCCCAGTATCTGGGAGTTGTCCTAGCAGCTTCTGTTAAAGGGGCGTCAAGAGTAGATGTGTAGCAACAGGGTCAGAGCAGTGAGGGATGAACCTGCACATAGATGGGGAGAGCACTTTCTATTCCTTGGAAGGTGACTTGTGCCCACCTGGGGCAACTAGGTCCTATTTCTGTTGACTGGTGGACTGTTTTACCTGGGCTTCCAAGTATCTTGGCGTCCCATAGGCCCTAAACAATGGGGTGCACCGCAGGAGATGGAGATTAGGTCAGGGTGCTGGCTCCCTCAGGTCGCACCTATGTCATTGCTGGGCCTAGAGCTTCTGGCTTCTTGTTCCTCTTCTGTACCTTGCACTTGGAGGTAGTATGCACTCCCTCAGGTAGCAGCCCTGGGGGACTCTACCAGCCCTTATGGCTTCCCTGGTCCCTGGCTGCTCCTTTGCTTTGGTTTTCGGAGACAGGCTCTTGCTGTGTAGTTCAGGCTGTGCTTGAATCACAGGTGCTGGGATTGCAGGTATGAGCCACCACACCCGGCTGGCTAAAGAATCCCCTTGTTAACCTCTCTTTGGAATATTCCATGAGGATACCTGTGACCCTGGCAACTCACAAGCTGTGTGCCTACACAGTCCACCACCAGCAGGGATTTCCTAATCATATGGTTTGTCCGAAGACAGTCTGATTCTTCTAATGCTTAAAAGTACAGTACGTAGCCAGGGATTTAGCTCAGTGGCACAGCACCTGCCTGGCAAGTGTGAGGTTGTAAGTTCAATCCCCAGTTAAAAGAAAAAGAAAAAAGAAAAAAAGCACAGTACTTGGAACTGGGCATGGTGGTGCAGTGCACACTTATAATTCTAGCACTTGGGAGCTTGGTGTGGGAAGAATTCTGCAAGTTCAAGGCCAGCCTGGGCTACATAGAGAGTTCAACCCCAGCCTGAACTACATAGCAAGATCCTGTTTAAAACAACAAACAGGGGCTGGGATTTAGCTCAGCGGCATAAGCACCTGCCTTGCAAGCAAGCAGTCGTGAGTTCGATCCCCAGTACCGATAAAAAGGAAAAAAAAAAAAAAGGTAAAACAACAAACAAAAACATATGACACTCGTAAGGGGAGTAGTAGATGTGCTGGATGTTAAGTACTAATGCATCCTCCCCTCTTGCTGAGATCCCAATTTTTTTTTTTTTTTTTTTGTCTTTTTCCTTTTTATCGGTACCGGGGATCGAACTCATGACTGCCTGCTTACAAGGCAGGTGCTTATGCCGCTGAGTTTAATCTCCAGCCCTGCCAATTTTATTTCAGCAGCAGCAGCATGCCTGGGAGGGGAGAGATAGAGTAAATGGAAGACATTTCCATTTCTGGTTCCTGTGACTGGTCTAAAAGGGAGGGGTCTTCATTGTTCCCTCATTGCTGAGACACAATACCTGACATCCACAAATGGAAGGAGGATGGAAAGTTTGTTTTAGCTCAGTTTGTAGAGGCATCAGGCCAGCGTCAGCTACTTTCAGTGCAGGGGGCATGGAGAGGGGAACAGCAAGAGAAAGAGCTCACCCATGGCAGGCAGGCAGCAGAAGGGCTTAAGGAGGGAGAGGTATATATATGCATCTCCAAACTATGCCCACAGTGACTACCTCTCACCAGCTTTCACCTCCCAGGATCACATCCAGCCATAACCCCATCAGCAGATTAATCCAGTATCACACACTCATGATTTGGTCTAGGCTCCAGGCATAGCAATGACAGAGGTGTGATCTGAGGGAGCCAGCACCCTGACCTAATTTCCATCTCCTGCGGTGTGCCCCAGAGCCCCACCTACAAGCACATGAGACTTTGTGGGGACATCAAGATATAAGCCATGACAGGAGGCCCCTGTGGAGAGATTTGTACATTTCTTCTGCTACCTGGTATCTTATTTCAAGGCTTTGCTCCTAGTTGAATGAGGATGTAATGCTGGATGCTATAGCAGCTGTGTTGCAAATGTGAGGCTCTAAGCTGGAAGGGAAAAGTGACTCAGTGGGTGAGAGTGAGAAAGGAAGAGACCAAGTCCATGGTGACATAAATGAGGAACAAATGTCTCCATGGTTTGAGTTCCTGTAAGTCAGACATTTATTACTTGAAATGGAAGCCTTTACTGTGATACAGGGTGGTCAGGTCATTCCATGAGGGTCAGAGGCCCAAGTGGTCTCCTGGATCTGTGGACACCAAACTTGCATTGGGGAGCTTGGGTGGTCTGTGGACTTGGAGGCTCTAGGCAGGGTCAGACCTACATACAGGTTCTGGGCCCTGTGAGGCAGGGAGCTATGGGAAATAACAGTATTAGACATACCCCCAAACACCATTAACAGGGGTTTAGGGGGAAAAATAAATATATTGGGCTTAAATGTCTTGATGCAGTAAGAACCTGTCCAGTGGGCCCCCCATTACTCCTTGAGCATCTCCTGCCCTCTCCCTTGCTCAGCCCATTCCAGCCATCCTGGGTTTTCTGCTGTTTTTACATATCATGTGTGATCACCCCGAGGGCCTCTGCATGGGCTGTTGTCTACATATATTCCCCAAATATCCTCTAAGCCTCACCTCAGCTCTCCTCTAGGGAAGGCCTTCTCTGAGCCTTCAACCAGCACAGGCAACCCCCTGGCCTATCTATGGTTACCCAGTGTGGCTCTAATCCCAATGTTTGTGCTGCTTTCTGGAAGGTGTCACAATAGCACCTGCTTTGCCTAACCTGCTTCTCACTCTCCCCTAAGTGCAGAACAGTGAGCTGGGAGCTGACAAGAGGTTTTGTTTTTTTTCTGTCTTCGTTTTTTGAGACAAGTCCTCGGTATGTAGTTCAGGTTCACTTCCTTTTTTTTTTTTTTTGTCTTTTTCCTTTTCATCGGTACTGGGGATGGACTCACGACTGCCTGCTTGCAAGGTAGGCGCTTATGCTGCTGAGCTAAATCCCCAGCTCCTCAGGTTCACTTTCAGTTCACTATGTAGCCCAGGCTGGCCTTGAACTCATGGTGATCCTCCTGCCTCAGCCTCCCAAGTGCTGGCATTACAGGTGTATGCTACCATGCTTGGCTGGTTTCTGAACAAGTGCATGATTAGTCCCAATGTATATCATATGTTAGGACAGCAGAAAGCTGTATATTCTTGTTGAAAGGTCCAGCTCTGCCACTAACAAACAGGTATCTCAGCTCAGGGACCCTGGCAAGACCCTGGCAAGACCCTGGGTCTCAGCCGGTTTCTGGTGGTCCATGACCACACAAGGAGCAGGGAAGAGCTCGTCACAGGTCACTGTGACTGTTGGGGGAACTGTGCTTTAGGAGGGGGCACTGCCCTGTTTTTTTTTTTTTTTTTTTTCTGGTTTCTGGCTT